TATATATATATTTATTTTATTATATATATTATATAATTCATATATTATATATGACAATAACGTTTAAGCAACGGCTTATATATATATTAAAACCGTTAGCTGCATATATGTATTTGAAATTTCTGCACTTTAGACTCCGCAAAATATTTAGCAGATCAGCATACAAGTATGTCTCAGTATGTCCTATTGGTAAGAGTCGTTCAAAAAATTATGAAGCACTTGCCAATGTACGAATGAGGACTTCGGAGATTTTACTTAGCGCCGGAGGCAATCATATACGACTAAAAATCTATTCTACTTTAGGAAACTCAGACGAGAGTCTTATAGCTTAAAGAAAATCCTTGTAATTCTAGTTTTTTGGAAGATAGCGTTTTACAGAAATTCAAATAGGATTATCGAATTGAAAATTGTATAGTAAAATTTTGAGTATTTTATTAATTCCTTTCTTCGTTCACCTAAAAAACATTCAAGTTCATGAGATGAACGTCGGTTGACAAAAAAAAATTCTGCAAACGAAACCCGTACTTTTAGTTTCGAAAACAAAAAAAAAGTCACAGGGAGCCTAATATTGTGAATATATTGGCTTAGCAATGAGCATAACCGAAATGGTTCAGTAGTTCCATAAGAGATGTAGAGATGCTCTACTATCTCTTTGATGCCAATACGACGATTTTTCAACACTGTTTATTCAACTTTTTTGAAGATATCGGCATTGAAATCACGACTTTCACTGAATGTTTTGTGTTACTGAAATACTCAACGATTCCGTAGCCGTCATTCCACTGGAAACACAAAATTACCAGACAAACCTTTCACGTCGTAAACAGGCGGTTGCCAAACACACATTAATTGACATATGGAGATCAAACTACACATGAACATAAAAAAGTTTGCTTGCACCAATCTAGGAAAAATCTTTCTGATTTGCGGGTTTTTTGATGTCTCGAACTATCGCTCAGATTTTGTTACGTTTTTGATTGTCCAATGGATATATTTTGTAGCTCGGGCTGCAAATTCAAATATTTTGACAACAGTGGTAAATATTCTGCCAACGCAATAAGGACTATAACAATATTAGAATTAATCAGTAGTAAATCGGGCTCATTGAAAATTATCTTAACTATGGGATATTGTATGATTTGAAGGCTATCAAAGACCACGATTATGCTATGATTAATTACATCAAGCTTTCGTACGATGCTACTGAGGAAATTTCGCTAGTGAAGACCAGCGTTAAAATAGGAACAAATCCTTGCTGTCAACATTGATTCATTTGTCGAATATGTGATACTTTGAATTGCTGGTTAGATATAGTCTGGAGCAAGTTCCTGCGCCTTATAGTGTGTTATACTTACAGAGGTCACGAATATTGAGAAATACGATAAAAATGGTTGGTAAGTTCATTTCCATGCAGGCAATAAGGTTGACTCGAATCAAGAAGACTAATTGCTTTAAAAGCTTATAAATTCTAACAGCCAAAGTATGCTAAGTCCTAAAACCGATGTAGAAATTTCAGAGCATAATTGTCATAGCAAATGATCGAGCTATAAAATCAATCACTTTTCCATAGTTTCAGTTTTTTCTCGCTTTCAACTCTCGCGTAGCTACATCACAGGGCATACCTTTGTAGTTTTGACCTCAAGTCACTAATTTGTCGTTGAACTTATTAAGTTTACGGTAAATTGTTTCCTTACTCAATTCCAGTCGAACAAAGGCATTGCATATTAGCAGGTATAATAGTTTTAATTCCCTTCGAGCTGAATTTGGATATGTGATAATCTTAAGATCTAATCTCTAGCTTCACAAATTAACTAAACTGTGATTCTCTGTTGTGATTTGAACCAAAACCGTAATTTTGTACATCATTTGTCCAGCATTCATCAGGTTTAGATGCAATAAATTTAATAATCACTATTTAGTCATGCAAGGGTTAACTTTAAATGACCATAAAACCTGCATTCACCGTTTTAGTCACCTTCAATTAATGTTTTTATCACTGAAAATGCACTTCGTTTGAATTAAATGTGACAGCGTTGCCATTCTTCTTTAATATGCACACTAAATAATATAATATATTGATAAATGGATATTTATGGTGTTATAGCCGTTGTAGTTAACTTAATGGACGTTTGACGAATTTATGGCAAAATCAAATTTATACGACAATTTATTTTAATTTTCGTAAATAACAGCATCTCAACGGTTCAACGGCGAACATGCATAATGGATGACCAAAACGAGGGAAAATAGAAAAAATTAAATTACGACTTTGATTTATTTCATTTGCACATTTTCATAATTTACTTATGAAACAGCGAAAAAGTTAAAATATTGAGAATAAAAAACGAAAAAAACCGAACGCGGGATCAAGAGACAGAAAGAAATAGAAAGAGGTAGAAAGAGAGGGACGCATATATATGAATTTATAATCATTTGGAGTGTAAATATAGGAGGCAGTTGTGAGAGAGGGAGCTATATAAAAAGAGCAAGAGCGAGAGTGAGCGATTCAAAGCGATTGAAGTGTCTGTGTGACGTTATTAAATCAAATGCAAATATTTATGCCGCGACAAGTAAACAACAGAGTAAGCGAATGAACAAACAAATGAACAAAGACAGAACAAAAACAAGGACCGAGGCAGTCGTTTACATAAATTAAAAAATAAAATTATTAAATAAAAATTGAAAAGAAGTAAATTGAATAAATTATAATTAACGCACACACTGACACACATCGAAAGCGTTACTATTTGATTGCAGCAGCCAAAACAGTTATTTTTTATATTTAGCTGTAAACTTTATACTCCGAAATCCAGTATGCAAATGGTTGAAACAATAATGATATTAATTTAAGTGTATGTGTGTAGGTTTGTATATATGCTGTGAGAATTAGGGATGTCCTTATTTTTTTCTTTTATATATTGATGTAATATCCACTTAAAATAAAAGGGCTCCAAAAAAGAGTATGAAGAGATTTTCCCCAAATTCTATAGGATTACTTTGTGCTGTATTACCAAGGTGGACAAAAACAGTTTAAGAACAACTATTCTTTGGGTTTCGTAAAACAGCTAAGGATCTTTAGAATCGTGCAAGATATGTTGTGTTAAGCCTGAATACTTTTAATGGGTAATTAAGAGAAACAATTCGAAAGAGATGGCACACTAATGCAATAAATAATATATCGAATATAAAACTATTCCTTGTAAATTTATTTATATTTGCTAGTTAATCATTGAGTTAAATGTTCTAAATGCGAAAAATATTGCCCAGGCTATAGAGAACTTGGAATAAAATAATACTTCAAAAACTTGAATAAAACATGATAAGTTTAGCTAATCAAATCGTCCTAGTTTTAGTCATAGGTCTGTAAACTTGTTTCTGGATTTGAACTTTGAAGTTCTGGAAGAATGGTAAGACACCAGGGAAAGAATGGAGCATCTCTTGTGCACTTATCCCGCATTGAAGGCATGGGACACTGAAAGCGGTATCGTTAGTGAAGCCATAAAGCGGGCTGACATTTGCGTCAAGCGAAGGCATCCTAAAGCATGACTACTCCACATGGACTACGTAACGGTACTCCAAACCTGATCTTAGTCTGGCTAAGGAACAAAACTGGTCTATGCTTGGCTCATTAGCCTACCAGACTAATCTAACCTAACGTTAGTATAACTTAATGTGAAAATGTAACCGTCTAACGGTTTCGTCCAATGGAAAACGTCTTGCTACTTCTTTCTACCCACTTTGTTTGTTATAAATAACTTTCAAGTTAAACTAAGGTTAGGTTAGGTCGTTGGGCTCCTTAAGTGCATCACCTCATATATCAACGAAGCTCCCCACAAATTTATTAAGGCGGTTAATAGCAATCCCAGCCACTTCGTTAGGTTCTCTAAAGTTGTGTCTACCGAGATATTTCAAACTTAGTCTAGGAAAACCCGGGTGAAGCTGGAAAAAGTGATAAGGAGAAGTGACACGAACTAAGGTTACTTAATAAGGAAAGAGGTTCTTTTATGAAGACCTGTATATTGATTTTTACCAATCAGTGTGAATGACAGCTTTATACTATAGGGATTGGCTATCATCTATGTACTATGTCAAATTTCGTGAAGATAGTTTGGCAAATAAAGAAGAAGTTTATTGAAATCAGTCTGTTTGTATGGCTATCTAAGTGCTATAGTGGTCCGATATCGACGATTCCAACAAATGAGTTGCAGCTTGGGGAAACCGAGGAAATAGCTGGCGTATATACAGACGGATAGGATTACATCGAACTCTTCACATATGTTCTTATATACTTGAAATGGGGTTTCGACTTTTCCCACCAAACATTGTATGGCAAACTGAATCAAACTCGTTCAAAATATAATAATGTTGTACCAAAAATAATCGATTGCTGGTTACCGCTAATAGTTATCTACTTTGTTAAAGGTAAAAAAATATCTAAATCAAGAATATCCGAATTTATATTATTATGTAAAATTAAAAAGCAAAAAGGTCCTGTAAAATTAGGACATCCCTAATAAAACAACTTAAAGTTTTCAATATGAATGCTCGTTTAGTGGATCGTATGAGTATCTATATAAACCCTAAAAAAAAATTCAAATGTAAGGACATCCCTAATGCATGAGTCGTAACGTTCATTATGTACTATGTAGTTATATATAATTTACATATACATAAATGTATAACATACTTTTAATTAGCATTTATTACAGACGTTTATAAAAATATATAATTTTTTTTCATTTTGTGCATACACACACAAACGCACAGCCACTATATATCATGTAGTATGTAAACAAATTTTGTAAGAAAGCGCATACACACATACGCCTATAAGATGTACATATCTAATGCTTTGTAGACTTTCAAATAAATTTAAAAATAATTTGAAACGAACAAAGATGAACAACAAGCTTATTATTATTTGTCTTGCTGTCTAAGAGACTTAACGGTAATGGTTTGTAAGGAGTGAGAGAGAGGTAGGCAGATGTAGGGGCACTTACCACCGTCCTTTGTCGTCGCTTGCGTATCCAAATTTTGATTCTGATTTTGATTGACAACAAAGGCCGAATTCTCCTCCTTTGTTATGCTCATATAATAGCATGTGTCGTCCTTCTTCATGATATGCCGCGGCCCCGGATTTAGCAGTATGGTGTCCTCGTAGAATTCCGGCAGCTCGGCTGGACGCACACCCACCAATGCAACGCCATATCTGACGAGAGAGAGAGAGAGAGAGACAAATGCGGAATGAAAAAAAATTTAAAAAAAGAAATTGAAAAAATCCGTCAAAGCAATAAAAAATTTAAAGTGAATGTCCATCAGTGAATTTGAAAATCCAATGTTGGAAAGCACAAAATTCAATCAGTGCTAAATTAAATTCACTTCAATTGTTGCTATTAATGCATGTCCATCAGTCAGCGTAAAGCGTTGCTGACCAACGGAGAGTTTCCAAGTTCAAACGCAAATGTACGAGTATGTCTGCGTGTGGCTGTATGTGCCATCGTCTACTCACTTTCGATGCGAATGAAAGCTAGCATAAGTGAAACTTTTGCCCTCGTACTCGCCAAAGAAGCGACTGTCGCCGAGCACAATGTGGTAGATCTCATTGCCGGAACACTTGCCGTAGAGGCGATGCCATTCCTCCGGTGACTGTTGACCTTCCCTGGAAAAGTTCAATGAGAAAAGCAAATGTAAGTGGAAAACATTTTTTGTATATATTCTCATGTTGTTTTTTTTTTTTTTTATGTGAATACGTGCAGTTAAAGTGTACTTTCAGTTAATTGTTAATATGTCTTTTTAACCCTCTAACATCGAAGGTATTGGAGACAAATTGATAAATAAGATAATTTCAAGCTTTGTACGAGTTTTTCAAAGCTCCGCATGCAGTTTCGCACGATGTCGAGTAATCAACATAAATTTCGAATATTTTAAAACAAAATAGAAAAAACGTTAACTTCGCTTGCACCGAAGAAAATATTCCATACAGGAACTAGATATTGATCGTTCAGTTTGTATGGCAGCTATATACTATAGTAATACGAGCTAACCAATTTCTTCGGATATTGCATTATTAAGACAACAACCCAAGCCAAATTTCGTGAAGATATCTCGTCAAGTGAAAAAGTTTTCCATACAAGCACTTGATTCCGATCGTTCGGTTTGTATGGCAACTATATGCTATAGGTGTCCAATATCGTCGGTTCTGACAAGCTAGCTTTGGGTAAAAACGGGCGTGTGCAAAATTTCAGATCGATATCTTAAAAACGGTTCGCGTATACAGACGATCAGACAGACGGACATGGCTAAATCGAATCAGTTCGTCATAATTATCATTTATATATATGCAACTTAATATTTCCTGATCAGGGTATAAAAATATAGATATCTATCGTACATAATTGTTTTGAAAGAAATAGAACATCCGGTGTAGTTATGCTACCCACTATTGAAGACATCAAATTCAATACCGTGCCAACTGAATTGTTTGACGCACTCTCTCTCTTTGCTCTTCTGTTTGATATGCACGCTGTCGCGTTATACTAATGAACTGCTTTTATTGTGAGATTTCTCATTCTTTTTCACTGAAATGTTCCGAGAAATTACATTCTATTGGGACCAATCTGTTTGACAATTTTTATATTTGTTTTATCATATTTTTGATTTATCCTAAATTTAAGTATTTTTCCATGCAATAGGATAGCTTATTTTAATTGAAAGTTTTTTTGCTATTCTGGACGGAGACGAATACAAAAAAACAGAGGTCGTTTATTCGTTCTTGAATCTAAATGGTGTAACTTAACCTGATTTACTTTACATATTTGAAACATCTAAGAAAACATTTGCGGGTCGAGTATGTGTATTGGATTAGAGATCATAAGCAATGTAAAGACAACGTTTCTTTGAAAATGATCATAACATTCTGGTTGAATCTCGTATATAAAACTCGTATACAAAACGAACTCACTGGGAGCTGATTTTCGATAGAATTCACGAACACGATAGACCTTAGAATACCAGAAATAGATATCTAAAAGTTCAATACAGCTGTGAACACTATCTCTATAGTTAAGCAGATTACAAAGTCAACGAAACGCTGAAAATTTTCTATTAACATTTTAACTCTTTCCAGAAAAAGTAAACCAACAAAATGTCGGTCTACAAAGAAAAATATTTAATTTTTCATTTTACTTGAAACATAAATCACTACCACATTTCAATCATGTAAAAGATGTTGAACTCAACCTATCCTGAGACAGGCAGTTCTATTTAATAAAACCACCCAGGATTTATATTTGCTCAAAGACTATCAACTCATTACAAGCTGGAGTATCTTTGATGTCGCTAAATCAATAACAAAATATAAAGGTCAAGGTCTTAATGATCCCTAGTAAAAAAGAGAGGTATCAATCAACTCTCCATGTTAGAATAAAATAAATTTGGAAACACGTTTAGCCAATCTGTGAAAACTGAAATAATATCTGTGGACAAAGGCAGTAATGTATTTAAATTAAAAAATAACTTTTTTTTAAAACTAATAGTGATAATTGTCTAGCAGTGGGTTAACAAACACCGTGTCTACATATCATTCCTGAGTGCATCCATAGGTAATTAGTGTGTTGAGTACTCATTCTTGAAGTGTCACTGCCAAGTGTTGTTACAAGTTTGAATTGTTTTGTCAACGTTAGCGAGTAATTGGGATCTTCCGTCTTCCTTTTTACCTATTTTTCTTGCGTTTGCTTTTGTTCACAGTTTTCTTTTTCATTTTGCGCTTTTTAGCTATTTGTTCTTCGTTCAACGAATAAATAAGCATACTTTCTATTGATATCAAACAGTTTTCTTAGTTCGTAACTAAATAAGACTTTACTTAGAATTCCTTTGTCATCATTTCAACAATAAGTAAATTAAAGTTTTATATAGCAATTTTGCTGTAAGCGAAGCAACTTTTTAGTGGCGATAATAGTTGGTCGTTATGTTATATTGTATTTGGGAATATGGTTGGAGTACAGGGTTTTAATAATTTTTAAAATTTGTTGAAAAGTGAAGTTCGTTGAAATTGAGAAGCTTATAGCATTAGTTAGAATATTTGAGAGGTAGAATTCTAGGCATGCTTAACCGGTATGCCACAAAGTAAGTTCTTAGCATCAACAAATAGTGGTCTTTTCAGAAGAAACTTTAATAAATTAAGCTGTATCCTTATTTATAAGATTTTAGTGATATTAAGCAGCACCTTCACACTATAAGGCATTTATAACTTCTTGTATAACCTCAGTTGTCTTAAAAGCTTTTGAGTTATTGTTCTTTCAAATTTTGTCCACACATTTTCCAGGTTTAACCATCACAAAATTTGAGCACTTTCGTGTTTCAGTAAGCACTCAGCAGCATGTTTCCTGTGCCTCCAGTTAGAAGACTTCAATAATAACTAACTTTCGAAATTCGTTGTGTTGCTGATACGTGTAATAATAGATGTAGTAGGTATTTATAAAAATACAAGCTTTTCTTTAAGAGCATATTTTTAACTGCTCAATATAGCTCAATTTTATTGATTACTCGTATTAATGACTTAAGCATGACTGCTTTATATTTGCAGCTTTGCAAGTAGTTATATTACATATCCGTAAATATTACTTAGGTAAGCGGATTTTGTCGGCAATTCCACCAGTCTATACAAATAATGTATATTTTGGTATGTCATCTATAAATATACTGGCAATAGTAATGTGCACAGACAAGCGCTCCTAAATAACTTTAAGCATATTCCCGATTTGGTGTACCCAACAGGAAATTCTATTTTCACAAAAATTTGAATGAGTTGTAAGGATGCGAAGACTTTATGATAGTAGTGAAAATAATAAGTCGAAAATATGCTGCTAATGACGAAAACATAAAAAGGTCCACAACATTTTTTTAATGACAGTAAAATGAGATGGATCGAGATAGTAGACGCTCTTAAGTTGTCAAAATAAAAATTTTGATTTTTTTAATGCAAATTTGGGTATAATAAAGCTTCGTGGAAAGTAGGTACCCCTTCATTGTGTCATAAGTAACTAAAAATCAAGTTAGAATCACATCGAATTATTAGCTTATTGAAAGTATTCGCCGGAATTTTTTACCAGTTCTCAGCCTATAAAACAATGCTTGCTGGAAATTTAACGGTTCTAAGGTGGTAATCATTGAGACTTAGGCCCGATTCGCGGCAAAAGACGCATTGATCTTCAAATATTTTAGCGAAATTTTTGAGTATCGATCGATATCTCGCTCTAGATGCAGAGTTTTAAAAACGAATTTTAGCACAAATGATTTTTTTTTATTTCAACAGCAGAAGTTTTTAAACTAAGATTATTGTTTAAAAAAAGTTATGATGAGCTATTAAGAAAATGTCTGAGTGTTGCATTTTAGAAGTTCGCGTTCCAAATTAAAAATTCTTCTACGAATTTACTACAAATATATTTTTTATTGGTGGATCTAAGATGATTTACAGAGTGCCGGATTTATTGGAATACAAATTTAATGCAGAAAAGAATTTAATAAACATTTTATTAACTTTTTCCATGAGGGTCTTCAGCGGATATCCACCTGTTGTTGGCGAATGTGTTGTGCTCGTTATTTATAATACGAAATTGTGGAATTTAATTCAATTAAATTCTTGGATATATTTAATAACAAAACAGTAGCGCCGCCCATGTGCCAGCCGGCGGCCTGAGTCCACATTATACAGTCACTCCTTTGTATACATGGCCAACCTTGTCAAAGTGTTCGACCAACAATGTGTGCGACCTTATGCACATACAACATAGGTATGTATGTATGTGCTAATGTGTATGTCAGTTTATCTTCGTTGCAAATAATGCCATAGTTACCTATTCACAATAGTGCCCTACTAGTGGACCATACCAGTGGGCTATTCACGCGGCATTATGTCATGGCCTTAAATTAATATCCACCCATTTGGCCGTTGAAACGGTTTGTTTGAGTATTAAAAGGACGGATGTTAATATATATGGTATGTATGTTTAAAGGTATGAGTATATGTACTTGTATATCTACATGTAAATGTATATGTACATATGCATTGCTGAGGTGCTTACGCTGGCGCAGGATAGTAAGTCATGCGGTGCAACGGCCACGGCTGGTCACATAAAACGACAGCCGGGCGTGAAATAAATTAATACCGACACAGTTACATTTACAAATGCATACTTGTATAATTTACAAATATATAAAGGCATGAACGCGCAAATTCAACGACAACAAAGGCGCTGTTGCTCTGCTAAATGGGAAAAACTGTGTGATTGTAAGAGTTTTTTTATGCTCAATAACTGTATAGTTGAGTATATGTGTGTATGTGTTGACAGTCGCGCAAAAATTGCGGTTTTTCTCGAAAGGGCACAGCTTACAAGCAAAATGTCCGGAAAATAATAAAAACAAAAAAAAAATGTTAATGTTCGCTTGCATCGAAGCTACAATATCCTTCACAATGCATTTTTTATAGCAAAAAAAAGGCATGGGAAGATATTTTTCTTGATTTTGATTGTTCAGTTTGTATGGCAACTAAATATATGCTATAATAGTCCAATATCGGCGTTTCTATAAGAGCAGATTCTTGGAGAGAAAAGCACGTGTGCCAAATTTCAGATCGATATGTCAAAAACTAAAGGACTAGTTCACATATTTACAGTCGGTCAGACAGACGGACATGACTAAATCGACTCAGCTCATCACGTTGATAATTAACTTATATACTTTATAGGGTTTGAGGGTTTTAAAAATTTCTGAGCAAACTTTTTACACGCTGTTCAGGGTATAAAAACGTGCTACATACACAGTATTCACAAATATACACATAGGTAGCAACAAGTATTGTAGACAATCGCCATAAAGAGGCCAATGCATTCATCTTTCCACGGCTCCGAGTTTGAAAGCTCCGAATGATATGACACTTTTGTGGAATCGGTCGGAAAAAAGTTGGACATTGACAGTAAGCAAATAGGTTACCAGGCGATTGTGACACTAATGTCCGTTTAATGTCTTCCTGGAAAGATTTCGCAGCGACTCGACTCGACTACATTTACATAAATCGGCACAATGGTGTTACTATAAAACTATACTTGTATACACTCAGAAGTGTAAACATACACATAAATTCGTTGACTGTCGGCTTATGCACAAGGGTCATGACATTAAAATGGAATTAAAGTGAAGTCAATCAGCGCCATGAATATGTAAGGGTAGTTAGTAAGTCTCAGCGGTTAGTGGCGAAAGTAATTTATGAGCTACATTTCTACAATACATACAAATCAATTATGGAATTGGACAGCAAACAAAATAAAACACTATAATCTTCAAATTATACTAAACAGTATAAGATTCAGTAGCTTTAATTCAAAGCGTGGAAGAACATCGCATTCTACAATACTAACGAAAACCAGATAGCAAATTGTTTATATCTAATCATTTAAAATTAGAGGAATGCTCAAAAGTAACGAAGTCTGGTTGGTGTTTTAAAGTTGCTGGTGATAAATAGGTAAAGGTTTGGTACTTAAAAGGCTGATCCAGGGTCCATATTACAATAATACAAATGTTTTAATAAGTACCTAGAAATCGTAAGCTTTGTTTTGAGCAATTTAGGGGAGTTTTAATTGAGAGCATAGGTTGACATTTACGTTCGACGAGCATATAATATATTTGGTCTAGAAAACACGCAAATACAGTTGCTTGCGGTTTCCATAAAATTGGAGTGGTCACGACTAATAAAAAAATATGTTTTATTAATTTAAGAGAGACTAACATTATCAGAGCACATCGTCAGTGACTAAAACGTATTGTTAGTTAAAGGCTATGGCACCGAACAACTTACAGACATGCAACAATCTTCCTAGCGACCGTAGTTCGAATTTGTTTGAAAAGATGAGATCAACAAAATCAAACAAATCGTTTTCTTAAAAGAGGACTGCAAATGATGAAGTGTGCGCTGAAAGTTTTACGGTTAATCACCATGCCATTTGCCTTAACAGATATGGTCGATGATCTGTTTGAGCTGGTATCGATTTCAAAAAGTGGAGCAATACCTGCCAACTGCACGTCAATGCAGACTAACAATTGAACCTATTACCTGTATCACACTCAGTGTAATAATCTAATTGCAATATATGGTATGATCGAAGCCGCAATTTTCCTATCCTAGTATAGACATCTTCCATTCGTTATTCCTCACTATGCGTGAGTTCTGCTCGCTCGTCAAATATATGAAAAAAATAATAAAATTATGCAGCTGAAATCTTTAAACGAGAGTAATACGATATCTCAACAAAGTGGTGTGACCGTTTTCTCTTTTATCTCATTACCGATTAGCTTATGTTTTTGCTTTTGCACTGAAGATCTATATTGACCTAAACTGCGCACGCACACCGAATCGATAAATATATATTTTTGCATTGGTATATCCTGTTTTTTATGTTCACGTGAAGTTTGATCTTCATAAGGCAATTTGTGAGTGTTTGGCAGCCGGTTGTTTACGACGAGAAAACTCACAGAATCACGGCTACGATTTTCTATCTGATAATAAGAGAATAAATAGAAAACTGCCAGTTGGAGGATCTTGGCGTTACAATCAAGAGCTCATATTTGGAGAGACTTTGTTAGAGGTGTCTATCAATCAATTTTTCAGAGTACCAAGCAATAAAAAACTTTTGGTTTTTGACCCACCATATCCTGCATGTTATTAACTTTTGATACTTTTCTATTTATTTTGCTAATATTTTTTATATTTTTCCTACCACTGTACACAGTTGTATGCTTATTCATTGTGACTTACAAAAAAATACAGTTTGCACCATGAGAATGACAACTACTGTTTAAATGCATGATTGTTAGTATTGTTGCTTGTGTAACATAAGTACATAAATATTTACACACACGTTTCCGTTTGACCCGGTTTCACGCGTGGAGTGGAGGTCGTGTCCATTAGTACAACTTTTTTTGTAGACATGTGTTATTCTTGCTACACGTGTACCGTTAAGCATATGATGAACCTAACGGTTGTTTGTATCACACAAAATTATTAGATACAGCTATTGAGTTATATATACATACAAATTATCGGGATGACGAGACGTGTTGCGATCCGACTGACTGTCTGTTGTCTATCCGTTTGTCTGTGCAAGCGATAACTTGATTTAAAATTGAGGTATCTTGATGAAACTTGCTACATATGTTCCTTGGCACCGACTTGGTCGATATTGTAGATGAGCGTTATGGGACCAGTGCCGCACTCACAAAACGCCATAAACGAAAAGCTATAAAGTGTCATAACCATGCATTTTTGGGAAAATTTTCTTTTTGTTTAATGTTTAATGGCCCCGCCCTCAAAATGGTTTAAGGTACATATCTTCTAAACCGCTAAAGATAAAACAACCAACCTTGCTGCGAAGAAGTCCTCTTAGTACTTCTTCACACACTCTGAGAATGGTTTTCTGATAATCATAAATTCTTGTGTCAAAAATGGATAACATCGGGCCAATACTTCCCCTAGTTAACATTTGCCTAATTTACGGATTTTCAAACATCTTGAATATAAGGTTTTTTAATATAATTTAAAGGGTATCTATTTTTGATAATGATATGTCGTAACGGAAAAATTGAATAAAATCGGATCAAAATATTCTCTAATCCTCATATACCTACTTGTACCTTATTTAAAAAATTTATAAGAATTTCAAACTTCCGGTTGACTTTATACTGTATGTATCGGTCAATATGTAACATATATATATCGTACATCATACGCTATAGTTTAATGCCAAAATTTACGATATAAATCCACGAATTACCCCAGATTTCATATACTAAATGTAATGATTTTTACTAATCCAGAATGAAATTATGAATTCCCACCCTCATATATTAAATTTATGTTTTTAATGTCGGTTGGAAGAGCCAGATTAGATATGCATATATTTCTAAAATATCTTGATCCGTACTGAATAATTGAGACCTGTCGTATTCTTAAAATGCAGGAATTCACATTCCTTGTTTGCTGTGGCTTTTTAATTGTTTCACAGTTTAAACTTTACAGTAGCTCGATCAACGATCTTGCTCGAGAAATAATTTTTTTGGAGCAATTCCATTTTCACCTCTTCTGGATTATTCCCTTAATAAAATTGTTACAAATTCAAAACATGATGCTACAGAATTTTTAGTTGGAATATAAATGCGTTAGGAGAAATTATCAGCGTGACGAGCTGAGTCGATTTTGCCACGCCCGTCTGTATATACACGAACTAATCCAGAATAGTTTTGGAGATATTGATTTGAAATTTTGCACACATTCTAATCTCACCAAGGGGCTGCTTATTTTTTGACACCAACGATACCGAGCCATTGTAGCATGTAGCTGCCATACAAACTGAACAATCCCAAGCAAGTACTTGTATGGAAAACCTTTTTAGTTGGCGAGATATCTTCATGAAATTTGGCACAGAATGTTGTCTAAAAAAAGCTATAATCTTTGAATACATTTTTTCGATCAGATCACTATATGTTATAGGTGCCATACAAACTGAACGATCAAAAACTGGTCCTTGTAGAGAAAACTTTTTTTATTTGCCCAGGTATGCTCACGAAATTTGGTATACATTATTATTCAAGGCATCGCTATAATTTGTGAACCAATTTTTCAGATTGAACAACTATAGCATATAACTGCCATACAAACTGACGAACAGACTCAAGTTCTTGTATGGAAAACTTTTTTATTTTCTGAGTTGTCTGCACGAAATTTGGCACAGATTAATAATTAAGGCATTGCTACAATCTTCGAATAAATTGTTCAGATCGGACAACTCTAGCCATCAGCTGTCATACAAACTGACCGATTAAAATCGAGCTAAAGTTCCTTTATACCCTTTTATGCTTAAAAAAATGCACCTGTGAAGAGTATTATAGCTTCGATGCAGTCGAAGTTTACGTTTTATATTGTTTGTAAGTATTTTTGAAAAAAAACTATCTTTTTAAAGACATCTTTATATACTAAGGAGAGGTAGTCAACCAAATGCCTTCGAAGTCTGGAAATTGTGCTCTTAAATTTTTAAAATAATTTCATACACTTAAATACTAAAAATTATAGCATTTACTTACTGTCCTCGTGACGTGTGCAACAGCAATGTGACCAGCGTACTCGCGCCGGGGCAAGTGCAGTTATTGGCTAACAGTGCGTATTTGAATTCGTCCTCGCAGACGACGTGCTCCGCGAATTTCACATGAAGCTTGTGCTCCGGTCTGCGGTTGATGGTTTGGCGGTTTGACGGTTTGTAGTACGGCGATTGAACGGTTGAATGGTTACCCGCAACAAACAGCGAACCGAGGACGGAAAGCAACAATAGCCGTATAATACCGAAATGTGTTCGGGACGGTTGTGTGTGCACCGAGCACCGTTGAGTTGCCCAAAATCCATTTAAATCCAGTCATTGTTGCGATTGTTGCAAGCCACAGCAGCGCATTGTTGTTATTGTAGTGCATTAGTTTAAGTGGTGTGACGCCAAAGTTCAGTTGAATGATGCAGGCGGGGTTACATGAAAAATTCACAAAAACAAAAGCAAACATTACAGGTGAATTAAGTTTCCAATTGTTTTTGTTGATTTACATACACATACACATACACACGCACACAAATACAAATAGCTGTATGCGCTTGTTATTAAAAAGTGACTATAAGCATAATTAAAATACCAACAACAACAATGAATGCATGGTGTTATTGTTGCCCAACATTACAATTAACCTTTCCTTTACTAAAATTTCATTGTTGCCCAACAATTTCGCGGACATTCCAGATAAGCGCCCATTTATCATCGCGACTAATTGCACACACACACAGGCATACACTTACAGCGACACATTGATGCGCCTCATGCTTTGTTTTGCATATTTTGTTAGCGGCGCATTCGACGAAGCGGAGCTGCTTAGCGAGATTAATGGCAGCCATTTCTAAAATTCGAGCGAGTGTTGCAATTCGCTTTTGTTGCGCTCAAATCTTTTATATGCTTAAATCGAGGTCACGTCGCTTATTAATTTTTCTCGGAAATTTGGTGAATTTAGAGCACAAAATGAAGCTTGAATTTCCCCTGTGATCTTTAATACCATATTTCAATGTAATGCACACGATTTAGATATAGACTAGGGTAATTTTTTAAAACAAAGAAAATGATAGTAGATTGAAATCCATCGGAAACAAAAGATAAAATGACAAACCTTAAGGGAAAAATAATTGATGGGCGATATTAACATAGGTCGTGAAAAGGAGGGGGAGGGGCGTTACTAAATTTTTAAGGGTTAAGGGTTAATGAGTTATCTAAATTTCCGGCAAAGCTACGAGTCCTATAGAAAAAAATATACGGCAATGTTGTAGGTAATAAAAACATCTATAATTTTTGTTTATAGACTAGTTATGTGAACTTCAAAATTTATGTGAAAAATTCATATCGCCAAATTTTAGGTTTTTTTTCATCTTAAACAAACATTTATTTTCTTTCACGAGGTTTAGTGAAAAATTATTTTTTTATGTCCTGAACACACTGTATTTTTTTATTTAAAATATAAATTTTTTGTTCTTATATTGACCTAATATCGAAAAAAGACACTTGTTTTCAATAAAAAAATCTCAAGTCAAAAAATCAAATTTTTATAAAAGCTCAGTACTTTATGTTCGCGAAAGTCTGTTCTTTCAGATGTATTAGTTTAGTTTTTCCTAAAATCGAGATAAATCATTCTTAACCCTTAAAAATTCAGACACGTCCCTCTCCTTCCTTTTCCCGACCTAAGATCGTCCGTAAATTATTGTTTGCTTAAGGTTTGTCACCTTATCTTTCGTTTCCGAGCTAAAATTCCGCACGCCATTTTATCCCCAAGAAACAGCTAGTTTATGGGAAACATTGATATAACACCACCATAGGATAGGGATGCCATACAAGCTGAATAAACTTAATATGTTAAGTGGTCGGTCTTTGCATGGTTCGAACGAATTCAGCAATAAAAACTATTTGCGAGCGCATACGCAGAAATTCCCTTGGAAAAAAGAAAATTATGTCAAGGAAAATGAAGCTATAGCATATCAATATATATAATATATACACAGATTGAATATAGCATATATCAAAATCAAGACTTATTCGAGGTGATGTCCACATTAAAGTCCACCGTCGGTGAAGTAGCCATCTTCCGACAACGCGCTTAAAACAAATTAGGCTCAACAGATGCCAGCGGCTTCTTCACGCACGGCTCTGAATGGCTCTGAAAGTATCCTTCTTACAGATAAAAAAAATTTCACTTTTGAAGAAGTTTTTAAACTTCCAAAGAAGCAAAACCTGTTTTCCAAGTGTTCAACATGGTCATCATCCAGCTGCTGTATATGATAGCTATAAAGACGTTATACCTCTTCACTTCTGTGAAAAAAGGGTTAAAACCGGGGCAAAAGTATACCAGCAGAATGTACAGCACACAAGACAAAAACCACCAAGCAGTGGGTTAAAGGCAATATACCTGGTTTCATAGATGCCGATGGTTGGCCGTCTGCATGTCTAAATTTGAATCCATTGGACATCAGTTTTTGCTCTGAGTTGGAGAACAGAGCCTATCGAATACCCCTCAGAAATTTGTAGAGTTTTAAAAAAATATTTAGTTCGAGCAATGTCGTCAATGCGAACTCTGCGAACTGTTATTAATGGCCGAATCGTTTGATGACTTGTGTTAAACCAAAAGTTGAACATTTCGAATAAACATTTTTACATCGCTCATTTATTATATTATATTAATAAATAAAATTAACTTTACTAAAAAAAATGTTATAATTTTATTTTTATAACGGTTTGAACTTGTAACAGAACTTATGGCAAGACTAAGGATATCGGATTTGATCTTTGATGGGAATGGATCGTTTTGCATATTAAAGATTTTGATTTCACTTTGAATATGTAAACGCCGGTTTCCTAACCAAGTTTAACTATAAGCCAGAACTTAAGGAACATCTCTTTTGAATTTAAATTTATTAAGGTATACATTTCTGGAAAATTGCATTGGTGCTTTTATAGGGCATGTATAAAAAAGGGATCACCTTGTCGATGAACTTCGGTTATGATAAAAGGAGATACTTTATAGAATCATACATATGTAAAGAAACATAAAAGAAACACAAATAAGAAGACACTTTGGCCAAAAATAATTTATACAGACAGTGCGCAGGTCTCCAACTATAAGTATTTAAAATTGTATTTCAGATTTTGCAAACGGATGATTTGGTGCCCAGAAATATGGACCAAACAATACCAAAATGCCAAATTATAGCAAAAATCTCGTTAAACAATCTATATACTCATGATATTATATTGCTCAGTCAACTGTGACAATATGATAGGGTTATCGCTATCCACACTCCCTTCGTAGATTTCATGAGGTCTTACAATTATATAAAGTAAAACTCTCCGTTTATTGATATAATCATCTGACTCCCAATATACATTGCTTCTCTGATTCTTGTTAGACATACTTTTCATAAGATTGGCTTAATATCGCTCTCGTCTAATTTTAATTACCCCGTAAAGTAATGCAATCCCATACTAACCGAAATATCTGCACATATTGCGGCACACTCGGCGCAAAATCCTTAACCGCCCACGAACGCAATATCGTATGCTCGTCGGCTGCAGTCTTATCGGCATAATTACGAGCGGCGAGTATGAAACAAGCCTCGGCCTCATTCATGCGCGCACGTGCCAAATCGCCATCCTTTAAACAGGAACCCTGCGAACAAACCAAAAAAACATAAAAAAACGAAAACGTATGCCGATTAAACGCTTGATTTCATTAACGAAAGTGCGTCGCATATAAACGAATATCGGCGATAGTTAAATCACTGGTATGGAATACATCGAGCGCTCACCTGAATATAAATGACCCGTTGCGCCCAAATCGGCACCTGCAATATCATACGCATCGTGGTGTCCAACTCCATAGGACTGAGCAGCACCACATAGTAATCCTGTAGCAGTGGGTGCGCATAAAATTCGTTGAGGAAGTCCATGATTGTGTCCGCGTGCAGTGTGGTTGAGCAGACGACGACGTGTTTTTCGCTTTGCGCGCGATGCGATGAATAGCTGCCGCCCAATTTCTGGCGCTCCATCCAAGTGAAGGCCAATTGTTCGAACTAGAAAAAAAAGAGTGAGATTGCGAGCGTAAATCTTTTTTTTTTGAAATATACAAAAATTTAGCAAAAAATTGGTATGCACAAGAAAGGACAATCAAAGTGTGTGAGTGTCAATATGTCAGTGACTTGGCGTGTTTTGGCCCAAAATCATATGTGCATGTCAAATAGGGCCGCCAATCAACAGCAATGCTGCAATAACCCCGTCAGTCGCCTAGGTCAGTTATGCCGCTCACTCAACACTCGGTTGTGTGACGGCTGACTGGCGGGCCGCATGACTTTCGGTGACAGACATAGCTACAAAGCTAGTTCGCCAAACGTTTCGTTTACTTTTTTGCTTTTGTTGTCACTTCAATGAGTTGTTTTCTTGCTTTCTTCCCGAAAAATGTTCGTACATTTGCCAATCAAGGCTTCTTTGCAGATTTCAAAGCTCTCAATAGTTTGCTGAAGTTTAGTTTTCGCAATTTCTTTTATGCGTGCATTTGCTAGTGGAAATACTTATTGTGTGCGCCCACACACACACACGCACATTTCTGCGGAGCTTTCACTATTTAGAAAAGAGAAGAAAAGTAAACGGAAAACCAAAACCAAACGTAAAAATGTATGCATTTAACGTTCAGTTGCAATTTTCTACGTGTTGCCAGAGTTGCTTTGTTTGCTCAGTTAACGGCTCAGTTAACCGCTGCGATATACAAACGAGCTTTATTCTTTCATCAATAAACTAGTTGTTTGTGTGCGATTGAGTAAAAGAAAAAAATATAAACGGTAAAGTTGTCTTGCCAACGGAAATGTGCGAAATTTTAGTAATTGGATCAATTTATTCATCGTTGGAAAGTAGTGAATTAGAAACAAGTAAGTTCCGAAAGCTTTTACAGAGCTTTCGCCTAAAGATTTATTGAAAAATTAAAGAGTTGTAGTATGTTAACTGATCACCATATATGAGCAAGAGCAATAAGCTGATCATTATTAAAACTCACAGTTTTTTATTCTCTATGAAAGGCTCAAATTCTGCTGCACAAAATCCCCTTGTCAACCCTTTTCTTTGTCACCAAATATGAATTTTAACAATATGTATGGCAGTGAATTATAACAATAATAGTATCGAAATGTGCTTGAAAGGATATTTATACTACGTAAGCTCAAATAGCTCGTTGAATTTAGTAGCTGTTAGAAAGACAAAAATTAAAATATCAAGAAAAAACTAGACATCTAACAAATTAGAAGAATACTTCATCCAAAAATATATGTAGGAGTGAAAGGAGCGATGTCCTAAATATAAGTTAATTAGTATTTTGTTGATTAAGGTTAATCTTAGATAGTCAGATTCACGTACTGCGTGGTCTGGTATCCCCGGCTTAGAGATAGCAGTGTACGTCAATTACCTGTGAAATTGCTGTCCTGTCCCTCTCCCTGTCCCTGTCCCTGTATCTCAATTCCCAACAACATTTGTATGTTAGCTTAGGTTAGGTAAAATAATCGTTCCTAACAGGGATCTATTCAGGGATGTATCCTACATAAGCATCTCTTGGATCTTATTAGATTACCTGTCTGTATATATAAAGCTAACAGGATAAAACCGGTATCTTTTGAAAAACAATACTTATTCTTTCAAAATAGTCCCCATAGGATATTAGGAACTAGAAAACAGTCACACGGAGCCTGGCGAATATGCAGGCTGGGCTTCTTTTTGGCTAAAAGCTTTTAACACACGAAACTTGGCTTATAAAATCTAATTTGATAATTTTACCGTACTTCAGGGGCATGTATATCAACATTATACAAAAAAATAAAAATGGAAATTGGACTCCCAAATTGTTGTGTGATGTTAGAGATACCCAGAAGAAACAATCCCTATAATATATACTCGTATATCTAAATGATTAGCGAGGCGAGATGAGTCGATTTCGCCATGTCCGTGTGTCTTTATACCAAATACGCGAACTAGTCCTTCAGTTTTTGTGATATTGATCTAAAACATGTTCTTTTCTATCAAGAAGCTGCTCATTTGTCGGAATCGCCGGTATCGGACCACTATAACATAAAGCTGCCATACAAACTGAACGATTTAAATCAAGTTTAGAACGGAAAACTTTTTTACTTGACAAGATATCTCCACAAAATTTATACATATCCTCACATTACCTAAGATAATCCTACAATATCCGAACCAATTGTTCAGATCGGATCACTATATCAGGTAGGTAGCAGGTATAGGTAGTAACCTTCTAATTTTTTACCGTAGTTTTGCGTAGAGAAAATGGTCTTCTTCCAGCGAGGTTACCTTCAGTTTTATTCTGGTTATTCTAACAAGAGCTTGGTCTCTGAAAACTGGAAGTTAAATTGACATAGTAAGCCCGGCCGTAATCAGCGATATAATAACTGTAAAGTGTTTAAAATATATAAAATACATTGTCAATTATGAAAGCAGCTTCCAAAACTTAATTGAAAACATATGATCTTAGATTTTTTAAACTGGTTCGGATTCAAAAAGGAATTTTTACTATATAGTCCAATCAGGGAACCTAATTATATTGTATGTAAATGGCACAAGGATGAAGTGTTGGCATATCCTTCATGGAGATATTTTTAAATTGAGACATTTTGATAAATGTTCTGTAAATATGAGAAAGTATTATAGGTATATAGTAAACTTTGTACTTGCACTTGTGTGTCACACTGTAGCTGTATACACAAAGTAATCAACAGTTTTTAAGCTTTAAAAAACGAATGCAATATTTATTGAGAAATCCATTAGATAATTAATTTAATGCAATATATAATGTGGTGCTTTCAAAACTTTACTTTCTATTAGCGCCGGTCTGGACTTTCGTGTCGTTAATTAATGTGTCAAAGCAAATTACTGCAACATTCGTGCAGTTGAAATTACTTATTATGGAAAAACGCTTAAATTAATTTAAAAAGCAAAAACACACCCACATATACACACGTACATAGTATATATGTATATGGCAGTCGATAACCGCCACTGTCATTACCATTAAAGGGCAATGTCAATAAATATAAGAACCATTAGTACGGCACAGAAATACCAACATATGTGAGCATTTGAACCAAATTGAAGTTCCAGGCATTACCTATAAAGGGTGATCTGTTAGCAAAAACAGATAAGTAGTTGCACAGTGGCGGCAGCTGTCAAAGTTATCAATGACTTTTCCTTATGAGAACTTGATTTTGATCGGTTAGTTAGTATGACAGCTATATGTTATAATTGTCCGCTCTGAATAATGTGTTCGGAAATTGTACCTAAGCCTTGGACAATACTCCATGCTTAATTTCATGAAGATATCTCGTAAAATAAAAAAAAGTTTTTCATTTTAATTGGTAAGTGTGTATGGCAGCAATATGATATAGTAGACTGATTTGAACAATATGTATAGAGGATGTAGATTTGTCTTTGACAAAAGTTTGTGTCAAATGTAAAGAAGATATTTTGCCAAATAAAAAAGTTTGCCATATAAGAGCTTGCTTTTGATGGATTAGTTTAAATGGCAGATATATGCTATAGGGGTCCGATATTGGCGGTTACGACAAATGAGCAGCTTCTTAAGAAAAAAGGAACGTGCGAAAAATTTCAGATCGATATCTCAAAACCTGAGGGACTAGTAGTATTATCGAATATTTTTTAAGGTACTATTCAATTGAATTGTATACCAGGCGCAGCACTAGTTATATAATTATATATGCCTATAATTAATAGACGATACAAAAGGCTGAACCTTGATTTAAAATTTTTTTCATTGGTGGGCATAAAAATTTACGACAGAAAATAGTATATTCTAGGTCTCCTGATTATATGTCTTCCAGTTTTTAGACTTCTCTCTTATTAGAATTCCAAGTGAATGCAGGTCTAATTGACTGTGATAGCATTTTCTGATTTCTGATATACCTATTTTTATTACTCAAGCTGGATAGGACTAGGAGAAAAATTACCTTAGATTAGCATTTGTATCTTGATCCAAGGAGTTGCTTTCATATGAAACTGACTATAAGACATGATATAGCAATCATCCTTCCAGTTTTTTTGATTCAATATGAAGATTGTTTTCGCCAACGGTATACAGGAGGAAGGCTATTGGTGTAGACTGAGTTATACTGCTTAGTCTTTGCTAACAATCTTTGAGGACGATAACAAATAATATTTCGAGAATTTTAAAAACTATCTCGCCCACTCAAATATTGATATTTAATCCAAGGTGGCAATTCTAAGAAATAGTGAGTTTTCATGTAGTCACCCTAAACTGTCTGCCTCTGTTATGTTTGTTATATTATTGTTTATGTATGTGTTAGAATAAATGCGTTTGATATTGTCAGAACATGTTCAGCTTTGTCGTATTTACAAATATATGTATGTACTTAATCGGTACTCACCTGCGTCGGCAGCACTATAAGTGCTACGCAAATCATAATCACCATATAAAGCTGTGAGGGCCATATATCGGGCACGAAATCGCCATAACCGACTGTTGAGAATGTCACAACCACATAATACGTGCTCTGGAACAAATTCAAATGACGATGACCGGCGCGTTGAAAATGCTGTATGCCACAGACGCTGCAAATGAGGAGCCAATAGAAAAGTAGAGAGAGTGTGTGAGAGAAAGATATCTGATGAAAATGTGGTAATAAGCACTAACAACAAGTTAATAATTGTCGTAAAGAACCAAAGGTCAAGTGTGGGGTGGGAAAAGTATGAAAATCTGCAAATGACTTCGCCAGCAACCAGCATATGTGAAAATGATTACACACATATATATGTATGTACATTAGGGAGTTCCTTACTTTCAAAGTTCATGGATTTTTGAAGTTGAAATTTAAGTTGTAAGTGAATCGATTTTTTTGATATTTTACAAAAGGCAAGGAAGTCTACAATCTTCAAAAAGCAATATTTTAGTACAAAATTTTCCGCTTTACAAAAAAGGTTTTGATAATTTTTTCATAAAAGCATGTCTTTAAACGTTAAATACAGTTAAAGTTATGCATCAAGTGTCCTTAGTATCCATGCAAGTGATTTTACATACTGTGTTGCTCATACGACACGGTGTACTAAATGAATACAGTATATTTGGTGCATAAATTTAACTTCGCATAACTTTTAAATGAATATTTTTATGTAAAAATTATCAAAACCTTTTTTGTAGAGCAGAAAACTTGAAAATAGAATTTTCTGTTTCCAAGTGTAGATGTATTTGGTTTTAAGATAAAAAATGTATTGCAAAAGATCAAAAAATCCCATATAAAATATATATGCATACTTATATAAAAAGCTTGCTTACGTTGAAACTTTGATTTGAGGACAAAAACTGAATCTTCAGGCGACGTTAGCGAGAAAAAAAAATCAACTTGGGAAATACACCTTAATGTACATATCAACCTTAATGTAAAAATCAACTTGGGAAATACACCTTAATGTACATATATACTTGTATGTGTGTGTGTTTGTTTTGACTGAGTTTGAAGGTTGTGATGAGCATACTTATGAGCTAAGAGCACCTAAAATTAGATTGCCGAAAATTTGCAATGGACACTTTTTAGGTTGAACGCTTCTAAGTGCTGCCAACAGTTTTGTGCATGTGTGTGTCTATTAGTATATGTATGTAATGAGCCTAAGTAACTACTGCGTTATTTTCGCTTAATTGTAGCAGCTTGTTGTGATTGCGTAAATTCCACTACAAATGTGCCATTAGCTTACTCAACGTTCTCTATGAGTTAATTTATAGTTTTTGGAAGACTTCTTAATTACCTTGTGAACACCAGACACAGCAGCGTGGCGGAGAGTATGGTGAGCTGTTGCGACAGTGCGGATTGCGACTTTTGCATGGCGCGATGCAGATCGTTCTGTAAAGAAAAGTTATGGAAAATATATATACAAGTATATTACAGGAAAAATTAGTTTTAATAACAATTTTATTTTTTTGGAATATTTTCTCAATAAGCTACTTACGAACATATTCTCCAACGATCGCTTCGCCAGCCAGCAATTGAGAAATATGGGTATGAATAAATTTCTTAAAGGCGACCATAGTATCTAGAAAAGGAAGTGTTGTTTGTAGTATATTAAGTTGATAAGATTTTATTTACTATTTTGTAAAAGCGATTTTTTTATTAAATATAAGTATTAAATTCTAACTTTATAAACAGAAAAATCGCTCATATACGCAATTTGAATATGTAGATGGTTCCAAAAAAATACTCACTCATAGGGAAACCTAATCGAAATGTCATTTAAGTTTGAAAACACTCCATAGGTTTGGGATTTCTTTACTCAAGCTCGTCGATCTCATAACCATGCTGGCTGTAACTATATAAAAAACTTCGTAGGTGCCCTTTTTTCTGAAAGGGCTGCGTTTCTAGAATCGGCGTAAGGTCTATCCTTAACATATCATATCAGCTTTTATTTTTCGTTGCAAAGCAAAAAGTAGTTGGCAAAAGACTCGATCTCTATAAATTGACTATCAATAATACTCATTCACGCACGGACATAGCTCAAATTTTGAAACATGTAGACATAGAAGAAGAGCCGAAACTCTAACTTGGAAAACATTTTAGTACTTAAAAATCATAAATCTGTTTTTCAGACTAAGTCGTGGTAAAAATCGATTAGATCTATAATAAAATTAAATGTCTGAGCTGCTTTCACATTCTATACTGTATGGTTCTGGCCCACAGCGACATTTTTCTGTCCTCAGAACAAAAGAGCATGATCACAAGAAATAAAACGTAAAAACTGAGACTACCCTTTAGAAATACAAAAGATTCCTTTTAAGAACTTGATTCTGATCGTTCTACTTGAATGGCAATTACATATATGCTATAATAGTTCGATCTGAACAATTTATCTGGAGATTGCACCATTGATTTAGGCAATAACAATTGATTAATAATAAAATTTTACTTGAAGGGATTAAAGGATTTCTAAGACAAAACCTAAACAGCTAATTTACCGTGATTTCGAATTATAAGCGAAACAATTTATTCTATTTTTTGCTTTGGTTGCCTTAAAGAAAATACCTGAAGAGCTTATCAATTTTTGCTTCTTTTTGTGGTAGGCAAAACGATTTAAATTTTTTATGGATTTAACTTGATTACTTTTCAATAAGGTGAAGTAGAAGACTTCAGAGAAAGCTTAGCTGCGAAAAGACCAAGGAAAATTAAAATACATTGTCAGGCAGCGAAAATTGTGCAATGAAGAAAATAGTGTCAAAGGTCGTATTCTCAGCGTGGTTATGTTATATCCGAATCTCACACACTTCGCACTTTTTCTATTTCAATTTAGTAAAGCGTGGTTCATTAAGATAATACGTAAACAATTTCAACCTAATGATTTCATATACAATTACAACAATATAATATATTCATTACTTACCGTTAGTGCAAATGGTATTGTCGTAATTAATTCTAGAATGAAATGAAACGAAAGAATCTGTTGCCAGATATTCCCCTGCGAATAAAAATAATTCAATATTAGAATGCAAATAAATTAATGTGAAGATAAGATCTTGAATAACTCAGGTATGTGCTAAAAACAATTTAATATGAATTTAAAAGCAGTTGAACTATTCACAATAGAATTTGGCACTCAAGCTTAAAGCATCTATGTACCATAAATCAGTATGAATACGAGAGCATATGTGTATTAACTGACACGCTATTTGCTCATTAAGCTACTTTTTGCATGGTAATTGTCAGAATGAATATACGAGCTCTTGTTGTATTTGTTGTATTCATACAAAAATAAGAATGCATACATTTTTTTGTGTGGCCATGTATACTCATGAAGCTAGCGTAAGTGACGCTCTTTCAACACGTTCTAGAGTGTCTGCGAATAACTTCAAGTTGCTTGCTTACATCAAAAAAAAATGTCATACATTTCTTTAAGGGTAAATTGTTTAAATTAAATTTTAATTAACAATTTTTTTTCTATTTTTATAGCTGTACTCACCTTATAGCCTAGATATGTTAGTAGTACGGCCTCTGTGAGAGATACTAATGCTAATATTAATTGCGCTGCCCACAATATTGTGGGCCGATTCACCCATAAGATAGCTTCCCAATTTATAATGGGATTCTCCTGGAACTCCTCCTCCGTTAGTTGAGCCGAAACGAGGAACTCTGTTTTATTGCTCACTGAGCAGCCATAACTAAAATAGGAAGATATAAGTAATAAGAATGTTTTGAGCATATTATGTGTCTAGGTTGTCATATAAGTTCAGAACTAATCTAGAACAGCTAGCAATTGTGTCTAGCTTAATTTATTAATAAATAATAAATAATAAATTGTCTTTATCTTTTCTGTGTATGAATTCATGTCTTTATATTTTTAAGTTTTGTTGGAATCGACTAGGCGGCTTTAACTTCGAGGTCGGGACGAAAAAATTATTAATATTCGAATATATCTTTATTATGGTCTCCGTAATATACCTTTCGTATTATTTTACAATACTTCAAGGAACATTTTGCTATCAGAAATTGGCTCCAAAATAGTGTTCTGTAAGCCTCTAGTTGGTAACCAAACGATGCGAAATCCCAAATCCATTCTGAACTAATGAAAATCTATATATGTAGTATAGGGCAGCTGGGGTAGTTCGTGGATCGACATCATACATTTTTTGTATTAAACTATAGCATATACAATATTATACTTTCACATACGGTATAAGGCCAACTGAAAGTTTGAAATTCTTACGAAATTCGTATAAATTTTATGCATTTTAAACAAGAAGATACACTGTTATTAGAAAGAGTTTCCTTCTGAATTTCATTGAAATTACATTACGTATTGATTTGTAACTTTCAAACGAAATTTGAAAATATTTAGATTAGTTTATGGCGGCTAAGGGAAGCATTGACCCGATTTTACCTATTCTTGCTACAAGGGCATGCTGTTATCACAGAAATCTTCTCGCCGAATGTTTACATTAGACCTCACATATTCACCGATATGTTCGGTAAAACATCAGCCATATGCACTGGGAAGCCAATTGAAAAATTATAGTCCGACTGTGACAATTTTTGGGCGTAAGACAAAATGAATTGGCGGTATTTTTTTTTGCAGAGTTTTGTTCTGATAACTTCATTGAAGTTCGATTTGTGTACTATTAAGTGAAAGAATCAGATGGATTTTAGAAATGTGTTATATAGGAAGTGGGCGTGGTTTTTATCTGATTGGGTTATATAACACACCAAATTTGGTTGAAATTGGTTAAGTAGACAGACAGACAGACTACCAAACAGAATTTCAACTAATTCCTTTGGTATGTAAGCAATCTGTCTTCGAATAAGTGGATTTAGGAACTATAGTTGAGCGAAGTCTTTTCAAAATACTCCCTTTTTAGCCAAGTAATTTCGTCAAAAACTGTAAGATTCTCGAAAAATTTACACATCGTATCATTGCAATTATAGAGAACTTCATCCAATATTCCAGAAATAAGGTTCAATTTTGCAATTTTGTATTTTGTGAGATATGGAAATTTGGACGATTAGATATCAGTAATGTTCCACAACGTTCAATAAAACGGATATTTAATATATTTGTAGGTCAATATTCATGAAAGAAATACAAGGTATGTGCAAAAAATAACGGACTAACAGACTGAATCATCGTTACATTACAGTAATTTCAAAAATGGCAGCAATTTATTCCGAAAACAATCTCAAATTAAATTATTACTTAAATTTAGAGACCTCGAAAAAATATATATTGTAAATTGTAAATAAATATTTTAAAAACTTATTATTTGTAACTCAAATAACTTTACTTACCACGTTGCAAAGGTTGGATTCGTATCCGTTATCACACGTAATATGTACAGAACACATGCTAGTAACTTAAAAAACAAGTCGGCAATTCGTATTCGTAGGCCTGTAAATAGATCAAACAGAGAGTGATGAATAACTTAGAGGGTGTACTTGTTGATGGGCAATTAAGCGAAAATATACTTATAATAATAATTATTAAGTATAACAAATAAATTACAATTAGCTGTACATGATTGCCAGAGGTTGTTACGGCAATTATGTTTTATAAACAAGCGTGTTTATGATTACAGTAGTGTCAACAAATGAAATGCTAAAGTGAGCGCCTAACACCGAAGTTGGACAAATAGAGCACGAATGGTGTAACCCCATGAACATTTTTTAGTACAAAGTATCAAAATACGAAATAATTATTTTACTTACTATTATTCCGATTGTTAAATTACAGCAAGTTCACTGAAGTATAATATAACGTAAAAATATTCTCTTGGAAAAGAACATCATATTTCTATTCTATCTGCTGATATAAATCTTATGGCATATGTTAGAGGGGTTTTTTTCACTCTGTAATATGACGTATAAATTTTCATGCCTCTCGAAAAATGTATACTCTTCAAAGTAATTTTGTTGTGATAAAAGCTGAATTGTTGAATATTTTTTTTTCATATTCAATTATAGAATATAAATAAAAAGCAAAAATGTCGTCTTACTAATGGACTTGTATATAAACTATATATAGTTTCTTCAAAGACATGTGGACTTCTCAGTTAAAGAAAACAAACCGATGCTGATCTTGTTGACTATATACAATATAATATATATAATATAAGAGGGTTTTTTTTGCTTAGCCTGGGGTAAAATCTGTAAAATATAAACATAACATCTAGAGGCGGCGCACTCAGTTTTAAAGTAAATTTTGGAGTTAAAATTTTAATTTTGTAAAAAAATTTGATAAGTGTTCTAGAAGCTGTGGAGAGTTCTCTTTATAGCCAATTAAATGTTATCAACATACATTTTTTTGTGGTCATTATTGGAGTTTTAAAAAAAAGTTTTCAACGACAACATTCCTTAAGCGTTAAAGTAAATTTTGAGTCAAAAACCGTCACATTCGGTAAATTTTATATAAATGTAAAGAGTTTAAACCAAAAAAAATATTTCTTTTTGTCCAAAAAAAAATTTTAATCGAAATTTACTTTAAAACTCAGTGCGCCGCCTTAAGATGTTAAAAAATTTGTTTTTTTTTTTCCTCCAAAAATTTTCTTTTTTTCATAATCTACAGATTTTACCCCCAGGATAAGCAGAAAAAAAAATTTCGCTCCACTCTTATATAGATAACCTATAATTATGCGGAAAAAATAAGTCTCAGAATTCAATTATTGACACAATTGATAAAAATTCTAATTATGTCTAAAAAGATAGTTTGGTTTCAGAGCTCCAACGAAAAAATCGCGAATTTAAGTCGTCTAAGAAGAGAGTTCTTTTGAACTTCGACGAACTAATAGGTAGGTGGGATATTTACGACGCACCTGCGCCCATTGTGAAACCACCGGAACTAAAATTTCCTCACTCCATTATGTCCTCACTGAACCACCCTATGCTAGTGATGAAGTTTATCAATAGAAAAAGTTTTATTTGTGCAACCTCCAAGACATCCTCAGGAAACCTTTGAACGATAGTTGTGCTCCTTTTTCTGTATAAAGCATTGCATTTGCATAGGAGACGTTCTATATGTAGTATTTTCTTCTTCTATCTCTTCACAGATTCTACAATAGTCGTTGTATGGTGTTCGCAGTCTGCTGGCAAGTCTGCGAGCCAGAGTTACCTGTTACCATTCCTACGAGTGTTCAGTTTTCAGGTTGGCGTCATCTCTGTCATATAAATTGGCAACGCTGAAGCTGCGATTTGTCAACGTTATAGTTCTTGCGTCATTCCTTTGGAATTTTAATAGTCGGCATGTGTGGCCCTTACTTTATGACACGTTTAACGCAAGTTAGGGATTTACTCCTAGGGTGGTGCCAGCTCTGGCTAGACAGTTATCAGGAATATCACTATATATTGGAACCCATTGCAGGTTTATCGTGAATAAGGATTTTTGATCCACAAAGAGATCATAGCATTCTTTCGCTATCTTTGAAGAAACTCTAAGATACTACAGTGATTTCAAAAGCTAACCTTATAACTATTTTGAGTAATAATGTTGTATAACGGTCCACTTGACTGAATAATTGACCTTCATATTATTCATATTCGATACAAATTGTGTTATTTTTTGTGAAATAGCTACTTCACCTTTTGACTTTACTCTAATATTTTACTGGATCTGCATATCTATATATATATTAGCTCACGGATTCGTCTGCATTTACTCAACATTTTAAGCTGGGGTTTATAAAATTGTAGCAGACGTTCTTTTAGTTTCGATAACAGTATAAGTATAATGTAAACGCCGACAACTTTATTAAAGGACATATCATTAAACTGCCATATTTGCTTGCTATCCTGTGTTTCTTATGCCAGTTGATGTGATTTATACCGATTGAGTGTTCCCTTCACCACTCTCAAAAGTTTTGAAGACTGATATTAGTGTACATCGTGATCGATATTACGATTTATATATATGGTATACAAAGTGGGAGCGTAATGAGCCCATGTTGCCTCATGTGTAATCGTATGCGTTGCGTATTCTTTCTAAACAAGTGGCAGTAAAAAGCGAAGTATTATTAGAATTAATCCACGAGAAAGTTGTTACTATTGTGATTGTTGAAAGTTTCCTTGATCTGGTAAGTAAGTTGTTTACCTTCAAATCGGACAAATATTTAGAATTAAATATTTTTTTTAATTATTGGTTGTTTTTATTTCTTTTTGTGTCTTGTGTTTTTTCTCAGAATAAATATTGGTAATGCTTTCATTTGTTTGAGGTTAATAATAATCACAGTTTGCTTCCCATATACCATAAATAAGTGTTTTCTTAAATTGACTTAATTTATTATACCTTTTAAATACTATATATTGCTAATTGCGTTATATATACATATAGGTACGTATGTATACCGTACTGCTAATTTGACTTCAATTAACTAACATTTAACTACTCAGATTTGAGTTAAAACAGCAATGATTACTTAACTACAACAGTTCCATGACAGCATTCATTTGACTTCATTGATTTACCGGCATTGGAAATACTTTATCAAATCATTCGCAATCATTATTAGCTCATTATTGCCTCATTATCAATGCGACCTCAAGGAAAATTGTTCATAGGGGAGTGAAAGTAATATGATTGGCTTCCCCAGTGTAAGAGGAATGCCGCTGGTTGCAATGGAAAATAATGGTAAGTGAGATGGTAATAAACATACCATACAAATATTATATATAGCTGCGAGAGCCGGGACTGCTCTCAAAACGTTGCAGAGGTAATATAATAGGTAGATATGTGGGAGGCAGCGCGAACGAAATGACAATGAAATAGCAAAATATTTGCTCGTATTTGCCGGCGGCATTTGTTTTTGTAGTCAATATTATATGAGCTTGCGGCTGAAGGCTGAAAGCGGGCAATTAGGAATGTACATAAGCAAATAGTACAAGCCACTTATCGTTTATGTACATATATATATATATGGATATATATGTATGTGCTTAAAATAAAAATGATTTCGATAATACATATTTATTTATATAATATAGTTTATGTAGGTTAAGAATAGAGAATATAATGATGAGATTTGATAAACAAACTATCCAATTTTTTCTAAGGCAGCCTACAATCACCAGAGCAAAGAAGTTGGCGAATCGAAGAAGCAATGGCGCAAACAACTGAATTAGCGATGTAAGCGGGTTGGCCACTTTAATAAGGCCTATATTATACTTCTTTTATAGTATCTAACTGTGTAGCTTTACAGTTGCATTACTACGGATAGAGAGCAAACCTCACTTCCTACGGAGTAGAGAAGTAACGAATCGCTGACGGTTTATGGTTTCGCTATATTATGTGTAAGCTTCAGTTCAAATAGAAATAAGGAAACGAATGATGTAGTCTTATTTACCCAAACATTGTTTATCTACATTAAGTAATATTTATTCTTCTTTTAGCAAAGCCGTTAGAGTAATGGTAATGGAGTAAAAGTAAGCAAAAAGTAAACGTAATACTTTGTAAATACTATTGAAAATTATATAATATTTTAACTCGTTTATTTCACTTCAGCTATCTGCTTGGAAGGTAATTGATTTACGGATACTAGTAGTCCATTGATATTGGGTTTGAAACTCGACTACAACCTTTTCCTATTTTAATTTATAAATCTATATAATAATAAAATGGGTATTTTGGCAGTAGTCAGTACTCGGTAAACAATGTTAAGCCTTACAGTATTTCTCTATCAATGAAAACGTTTCTTCTGAAAATCTAAGAATATTAAAAAATTTGGAACTAGAATTAGTCCAGTCGCACACCACAAATCGAGCGAAAAGAAAAAAATGATTTCGTTATAATTTTTTTATTGTTATTGCTCATAACATATAAGTATAGACAGGTAAATTATAAGTATTTATTAAAATTAAGCAATTTTAGTTTCAAGAAAAGAATAATGCGTCCAAAGTTTCGGCGAGGTCTTTAAACTCATATATGTAACTCTTATCCACCTACTCGATTTACGAGTATTTAGTTTGCGTTGCTTTTCTTGTACATAGCAATTTGGCTCTCATGTCTTCACCTTATAACTGAAAATTGCTCGTAACTCTTCACACTTACTCTTTTATATGTTTAACCCCATAAATTTATAATTTATTTCGTAAATTTATAGGTGCTCGACATGCAAACATGCTGGCAAGAGAGAATGCACCGGAGAAGGTGAAGGAGGTTCATGTATATAAATATTCTCTCAACTATACTATAATCTGAATAAACCCTAACCCTGGTGAGTAGTTAAAGGCGTTTGAAAATATTTTTTTTTTATAAAACAGTAGATTTATTTAGAAGCGTTTAAATATGGTGTTCGAAGCTTAAGCAACTGTGAAACTCCTATTTGCGCGAAAAGGTTCGCTAGAATAGATTGTGGTGAAAATCTGACTTTCTTTTCTCTATAATTTGATAGTAAAAGTCGTTGT